AGGGCGGGTGCCTGGGAGAGGCAGGTGAGGTCGGAGAGAGGCCGGGGCAGTAGGCTCCCTGCTCCCCGGGAGAAGAGGCAGGCAGAGGAAAGGAAGGCTCTGGTGGGCAGGAGTCGAGTCGTGTGTGACCCTCTGCTCTGCGCCCACCCTGGGCAGCTAGGATCATGCAGCTGAGCGGACAAGGCAGGTGCTCAGTGAGGGAGGCGGGAGAACACAGGGGAGAAGCACTGGAGCCTCGGAAGAGTGGACAGGCCGGGCACCCGCAGGGCTGCGGCCTCTCTACCAAGAAGAGTCAGGCTGCAAGAGGCTCCCAGGCTGCCTGATAATCACCTCCTAAAAACAAGCGAAGTCCCAGAGCAGAGGGGGCGGTGACTAGTGTTGCGGTACACAGTGGTGAGAGTCAAGTTTAATGCAGAGCAGAATGACCAGAGAGAGAGCTCTGGAGTGGCCTGGCACAGAGTAATGACAATGGGTGTGAAGATGAGCATGCAAAGTGCCTGGCGCAATCTCCACGCCCTGTGCTTGTGAGTGAGCAGCAAGTCACGCTAGACCGAGCAAGCACACACATTTGATGTGTTTGAGAGGCGTCTTAAGCACATGTGCAGGCACACACAAAACAAAACCCAAGCGAGCACCAACATGTTTCTGTGTAGGCTGAGACACCTCTTCTGGGCACCGTGGAGAAAACGGGCTCCAACGTCTGTCTCCACCACGCCCTTGGTCACCACCTTCCAGCCACCAATTCTGAACACTACAGGTATTGCCCCATTTCAGAGATGAATCCAAAGAAAACGTACACCAAAACAACAAAATACTATTACTAATGGTATTAACAGATAAGCTTTTCTAAATATACCATCCCAGTTCAAACAAGAATAGGAATAAATGAGTAACCATATTAAATGCCATTGCTAAATCAACTAATATGACTTGAAATTTTCTTTCTTTCTTTCCTTTTTTTTTTTGAGAGGTCTTTGCTGTAGGGCACATGCGCTTGCCAGAAAGACAGAGAGAGAGAGAGAGAGAGAGAGACAGAGAGAGACAGAGACAGAAAGTGAGAAATCACCCCCCAGGGGGGATGGCCACGCCGCAATCCCTTTTCCTCCATTTTCCTCTCAGGATCTTGGGCACGCACGCACATGCACCCAGCATGAGTTTAAGCCACCGGGTCCGGGACTTGAACCGCAGTCAACTACATGGGAGTTCAGCGATGCAGCCATTACGCCAACTGCTGGTCCCAGTTGAAATTTTCGAAAACACTTAATTTTCTTCCTTTTTTAAATCTCACTTTACCACCGACATAAGCAGGAAATACTTATTTTAGGCGAGAATGGATATGCACTTTATAATACAGATATTGATTTATAACAATACTACTAAAGTAAACAATTCAAAAGCCACAGCAGCTGCAGGAAAGCCATAATGTAACCACAAGCAAAAATGGCAGCTCAAGGCTTTGATGAACTAAAGCATTTGGAGAAGCTGACACTTCCTCAGGAAGTACTAGGGAAGGGTATTTCAAAGCCATGGAGAAAGGGTCAGATATCATTTTTATCACTGCTCATACTTTAAGGAATAGATCACTGTGTGCTCATTCCCTCCCTTCAATTGAAAGAAGCAGCAAGAACAAAACTAACAAAACAGAGGCCACTGTGATGGATCGGAACTAGACAACACGCGGAATAAGGCCCTGCTCTTCTCCCCAGCTGCAGGACTGGCTCCAGGTGGGCCAGCCTGGGGCTCCTGCTCCCGCCTCCCACCAAGCCCAGGGCCAGAGTCAGGGCCATCTGCTCCATGCGTGCCCTTCAGTTAGCTCCAACCTGAAGCCACACGGAGATGCAAGGTCCTCCCCGTGTGTCTGCCTTGGTCTCAAACCTACTAGGGGAGAGAGCCAGAGCAGAGGGTCGCGTTGCATGTCAGGAAGGAAGGAAGCCGAAGTTCTTTTTAGATTTTATGTTTTGGCCAACGATCAAAACGAACTTGAAAACTCTTTGAAGTTGCTACTCTGTGGATGTAAAGCAGAGTGTCAATAAAGGCAAGACTACTCATTACTACTCGGGACTTGTCCCTTTGTAACTCTTCCTCTCCAAATACAGAGCCGCTAGCTATAAAACTGAACCCTCATCCGTTCTGGTGCTTCATGCCAGCCCAATGCTCACAGGGGTGACCCTCCTGTCCGGGCACTGATCACGAAGGCAGGCTCCATGGTCTAGAAGCTGGTTGGAGGAACTGTGCCAAAACACTCTCAGTAAGGCCACTAGACATTTTCAAGGACAGAGTATGTACCGAAGTCTACAAATAGAAACCTGAAGTCTACTCTAAAAGATCTGAGAAGGCAGAGACCCAGGGAGCTGAGGACATCATTTCTCAAGAGAAGCTAGAAAGGACCAGGTATTTCTACCTTCTGGTTCAGACCAGGTAGGGGTCTCCAGTTTGACTGGAGACAGCCCCAGGCCACAGAAGGAGAGCGGGAGCCTCTGCTCACTGGGCGGTGCTGATGAGGTGCCCCATCTATAAGAGGTGGCTGCACTGGCACCTCCAGTGAGAGGTACGAGTCTGAAGGCCATGAAGTGCTTTAACCGTGAGCACTGGGGCTTTCAGGCATTTCAGCCTTGTACTTCTCTATTTTCCAATCTATAAGTATCTTTAATTGTTTTTATTGCCAGAGGACCTTACACTCACAAGGGGGAGGGAGACAGAGACAGAGACAGAGAGAGAGAGACCCTCCTATAGAATCCTATGGAATCCTTTTTCCTTCACTTCTCCTCACCAGCAGGATCCTGGGGATGTTTTGTGAGCCACTGGGGTCAGGATTCAAACCATGGTTGCCCGTGTGGGACCTGGTTCCCTAATGCCTGGCGTCTAACCACTGTGCAACATGAGTTGGTTCAATATTTTAAATTTTAATGTTTTTCACAGAAAGAAAATCGGGGGCTTTTTTGGTTTGTTTTTTAAAGTTTTTGTCATAGGGCAAAAGGTTTTTGTCATAGGGTGTGAGCTTGTGGGGGAGACAGACAGACAGACAGAGACAGAGAAAGAGAAAGTAAGAAATCATCCCCCTTGGTGGGGTGGCTATAATCCCTCCTCCTCCATTTGCCTCTCAGGATTTGGGGCATGTACACACACATGCCCAGCGTAAGTTTCAAGCTACTGGGTCAGGAGCTTGAACTGTTGTCAGCCATGTGGGAGGTACAGTGCCTTAACCACCATGCCACTTGTTGGCTTCCAAAAAATCAGTTCTTAAAATATACCTCTTTCCAGATGGAAATTGTTCCTCTATCTTTATCTCAGGTGGGTTTCTACAATTTCCACTCATTCATCTGTTCAAACATTTATTTTAAGAATTATTTTATTTTTAAACTTTTATTTATTTATTTTAATTTAACCAGAGAGGGACAGAGCAAGAGAGAGAGACAGGGGAGAGAAAGTGAGAAAGCAAGTTGCCAAGTCCAGGACTTGAACCGCGGTCGCCCATGTGGGAATCCAGCGCCCTTAACCACAATGTCACCTGCCAGCCCCCAAACATTTATTTTTTCACATACTAGACACAAGAGAAGTGGCAAAGGTCAGAGTCAGGATTCCATGACATATGTGTGCATGTGTGTAACAGGTGGGCAAGAGAAGTGTCCCAGTGAGCAGGGCAGGAAGGCCGCACAGCCGGGATCAGCAGCCTCACCCACTGCTGTGCACGTGCTGATCCTCCACCTGGGGTGACCTGGACCATGACTTAGCCTTCAGCATTGGTGACTCTCTTACCTTCCAGGGAAGCCTTCCTCTCCAATGCCACCCCTTCCTTGGTGAAGGGGCCTCTGAGTCTTCCTGCTCTGCTGAATGCTGCTGAGCATTTACCAGGGCCGCTCTTCAGGCCTTTTCCCACACACCCCCCACCCCCCGTACCTGCCATGGACTCTCCTTGTCCTCACTACAAGCCTCCTGAGGACGTCCCTCCCAGTACCCAGCTGAGGAGGAGCAGCAACACAAAGCCTACGTCTCACAGGCAGCAAGTGGCAGTGCCAGTGTAAAGCCTGGCACTGGGCTCAAGGGTCCACATTCTCGGCCACCAGGCTGGGTCTGCTACTCTCAGGTAACTGAGAGTAACTGACTGCTCTACACGCTCCTGTGGAGGCAGGCCAGGCCAGAACCCTGGAGCAGCATCAGGGCTCCGCCCCAAGCACTCTGCTGTGTCCTCACTGCTCTCTCCAGGTGCCCTTGTAGCTGACCTCCAAGATGTGATGACTATTTCTTGCAGTGCTGACAATTCCCCAATTGTTATCCCTAGTTTTGAGCTCTGGAATCCACACATCCAACTACACACACACCTTTTGCATCCAAGTACAGAATGGAACCTCTGCTTCGTCCCTGACACTCATTCCCTCTCACTCAGTGCAGCACGTGCCAGTCAGAAACCTAGGGCTCATTATCCCCTCTCCAATTATCTCCAAGAAGCAACCAGGATACTTCTCAAAAGCACCAATCCAACTGCCTTGCATTCTTGCTCTTTGATGAGGTCCCAGAGCTCAGGGTCAGAAGCACTCCTAGCTCAGGCCCACGTGACCTGGCTCCATAATCAGGGCTGCCATCATGCCATCCTCCCCAGGGCTCTCAGCCACAGGTTCTTCTCTATCCCAGGGTCCTCGCCTGCTGCCCCTTCTGCAGAAATGCTCCTCTCCAGCCCCTCACCTGGCTGGCCTCCTTCGCATGGGAGGCTCAACTTCAAACATACCACGTCACCCGAGAGGCGTCCTCTGCCCCCACTTTAAAGCAGGCTCCATGTTCCTCTCCCAGGCCTGCGCTCTCCTCATGCTCTGTGTATCGCCACCTGTGGTCACTGGTGTGTGGATGGTGCTAAAGTCTACACCTTTCTTCCCTCCTGAGTGGGTAAAAGGAGGCAGCACTTCCCTGGCCAGTGCAGGCCGGTGCTGGGCATGTGGCAGGTGGTCCTGGGCTGCTGGAGGAATAAAGGGACGGCCACAACTCTAGGTCCAGCCCTCGGCTCTCACCTGGACAGTTACTAGGGCCTCCTCACTGGTCTTGCTACCTTCCTTCTGTCTGTCTTCATTCCACTCCACCTTCCACAAGTGCTGACAAGAGTTCTAAAAAAACACATTTGATCCTGTCACTCCCTTGATTAAAAGCCTGGAGGTTCCCCCATAGATCCGTTTCATAGCATGACAAGAAAGGTCTTTTACAACCTGTTCCAATTTCTCTCTCTGGCTCTAACTTCTCCCACTCTGGGCCTACCCTGTGATGTGGCCACACAGGCACCTGCTGCTCCCCCAGTGCCAAAGCTTGCTCCAGCTTTCAAGGCCTTCTTGTCCCTCCAGCTCCTAGACCCCCTGGGGACCCAGGCAAACAGCACCTTCCAGAGGTAC